TGGCTCGAAGCACTACTTTCTAAGGCGGTTAATCGTTGGTCTAAACTTTGCTGGTTCTGAATAATTTGCCCTAAGTTGATTTGAATATTCTGAATACCTTGCTGAATTTCGCCAATTGTGCCACTCATTTGTGGGATTTTTTGTCCGGTTGTCATCTCCAACATTAAAGGAATTCAGGGAACTAAGGACATTAACGAAGGTGGCAAGGAGAATAAACCCTTATTTTGGGGTGGGGCTTGATTAACTTGCTCTTGACTTTGCTGATTGTTATTTAAAGATTGATGGTTCATATTAGTTAGTGGCTAAATTAACAAAAAAGTTTATGGCGTAGGCTCCACCGCCAATAAGGGGCAAATATTGCAGATAATCATTATCTTTTTTAATCTGGGAACCATAGAAGTAGAGACCAAGGCAAGCGGCAGCCACTACTAATAAAATTACTTTTTTATCCATTATTTATCTAATTCTTTTTTTAACTTAGGAGAGGCTTTGAAACTAACTTGGTAGTAAGTATAAGTTTTGCCATTTAGGGCACTGCGGATGAGGCGGTGCTTTTTATGGAGAGTTCCTAAGGCTCCTAACTTAATCACTCCTTCTTGCATCTTTTTTAACTTAGTAAATAAATCAGCAATAATGAGGTCATAGGCTTTGGCGAGGACTTGGTGATTAGTCGGAGTAACCAAGGAAGGCTTAGTTTTTGCTATTTTAGCCATTCCTAGGCTTCTTTTTTGGCTACTCATCGATCATATCCCCAAGCCAAAGCCACTCCTAACATAACCGCAATGGCCAGATGGAACATTTTAGATTCGTATATTTTTTGATAATTCATATTTTTTTATCTTTATTTATTTTCTTAGACAAGGAGGAGGTTCAGAAGTAATATTTATGGCAGTTGACCATTAAGAAATTGTGAGAACTGGAAGGTTGCTAACTTTTGGCTAGGAGAGCCTTCAATATTTTTTTCTGAGTTAGACGGAATATTTTTTTAGTGAAAGTTCATCGGAACGACTTCACTTTTCTGATACCAGGTAGATTACAGGGCTATATTTTTGTTTTTAGTAGTTTGGATTGGGGGGTGGGGAGGGTGCTAGTTCTGATATAAGCACTGGTGTGGGGGCTTATATAAAGTGCTATATGGGTGAAAATTAGTGGTTAATTTTTACTTAAAATTTTGGGTGAAAATAGAAAAAAATGGCTGGATGATTGGGAAATTTTTATCGGTTATTTAGAAAAAAATTACTTCTTCCTAATTTTTAATCCCATTTTCCTAGTCTCTAAGCAATCTTTTTCACTAAATAAGCAAGTTAAGTTTTTTAATTTATTAAAGTTATTCTCTTCATAGATTAGGTGATTAGGGTCTAAGATTAGGGCTTTGAAGAGATAAAGGTTAGTGTGTTTGACTTTTTGGAGATTGCCGTAGAGACGAGGAGTTTGTCCGAGGGGGATTTGGCAGAGTTTAGTAAACTCAAAGTAAGGGTTATCCACTAACTTCTCAATTTTTCCTTTAATGTAAGAATTAAGGACTACATGAAAATGATTTCTTTCGAGCAGTTCCTTTAACTCTGCTTCTTGGCAAGTTAACTTTAAATTGTAAAATAACTCCGAGATAAATACTTTGCTATCTATTTCTGAACTAATGGCATTAGTGAATTTAGTTTCTTCATTGTGTAAGCAATTAGTAATTAACTCTTTAAAATCAAAAATAATCTGAGCCATTAGTTAGTAAGAGCGATAATTTGGGTGGGTTCAATGAAGAGGTGAGGTCTTTTTTCGCCATTGGCTTGTTCCCGAACTTTTTCTCAGGGTTCATCCTGATTTCAGAAAAGGAATTCAATCTCTTGACCTTTCTTTTTAGCATTCTGATAATCGCGGTAGACTTTGGCAAGATAGGATTTAATGGTTTTATCCTCGATGTCTTCTATTGGGTCAAATAAACAATCCATTGTCCCGTGTTCTTTATAATGATGTTTCATTTCTTGGAAAACTGATTCTAAAACTGGGCAATCTTCCCAGGCTTGGAATTTTTCTTGGAAGAGGACTTTATTTTCTTTTTTTAAGATTTCGCGGTAAGTTAAGTAAAGAAAATTTTGAATTAAACCATAATCCTCAAATCCTTTCTCATAAAAATACTTAGCCACTGATAAAGGCTCAATATTCAAATTTTTTAATTTATTATTTCTGGCTACCATAATACTAATTTCTTTTTGAGGGTTTTTTACTTTTCACTCTGGAACATCTTTATCAC